CCTTATCCTGCGGAGCCTCCCCAGCCCAGCTGTTGTTTGGCAGGCAGTTACGGGACAGGGTGCCAGCAATAAGCAGAAGATTGGTACCAAAGCTGCCAAACCATCAAGCAATTAGGAGAGAAATGGAGGCAGAAAAACAACGACAAAAACATCACTACGATAGACGGCATCGCACGAAAGATAATGCGGAGCTGAAAGCTGGTGATCGAGTGTGGCTTATTCATCGAAAAGAAGAGGGAATGGTGCAGACGCCAGATGAAACACCAAGATCATACTGGGTAAAGACTCCTCATGGCCAGGTCAGAAGAAACCGACAACATTTGCAAAAACTACCAGAGCTGGGTGAAAATCCCCCAAGAAATTCTGAGCCAGAGATCATGTCTTCACCAACCAACAAACAACCAAAAACGCCAACACCTCCCGTCTCTGCGAGACCAAACCGCACGAAAAAACCACCAGGCAGATTTAAAGATTTTGTGATAGATTAAGCCACTTTCTAGTATTATATTATTTAGATACGTTGTTATTTTAATAGTTATATCTTAGTTTTGTAAATCTAGTTTAAAGTAAAGAATAATACAAAAGAGGGGGGATGTAGGGATGCTTGATATGTTAAGTTGGCAGCGCGGGCACTAAGCGAGTGCGCGCTGGGGATTGTGAGAAGAGAGGTTAGACAGTTAAGAGTGAGAATAAAAAGCAGCTACCCCTAAGTGTTATTATTCCGGGTTCTTGGGGCTCTCAGGCACGGCCACACAATGTCCATTGTGAATGGGCAGTTATGTCCATTGTGAATGGGCAGTTATGTCCATTGTGAATGGGCAGTAAGATCTGAATGCTGACGGGAATTCATGCGACCCTACGCAACGCCACCTAGAAACAAGGCCTTGCCACTAAAGAATTGATCTGTCAAGATGGCGTCAATTGACCAGTAAAGTAAGGTTAGAATTTAGAATGCGCGGCAGTTCATAATTCAAAAATTCTACTATGGGTTTCTTATGGGAGCTTGATTTTACAGACAAAATACGCCGCATAGGTAGAAATCTTAACTAGTTCATGCTACAAGCGATAAAGACTGTACAATTATCTTCCTGTTACTAAAGGTTTAACTATATAAAAAGCTTCTGTTAAAGATATATTGCAAATTAAAAACAACGCTATCCATCGAAGTAACGTACATCGTTTCTAACGTCTTGCGCATGAGTGAAACGGAAAATCCAGAAACACTTGGGAAAGAAAAAGAACGCGAATATTTTGCGGTACTAGTGACGTTTAGATCGTGAAAATCCCCAAAATATGACAGTTGATTTCGTATTTTCATCACAACAAACAATCATAATCACAATTTTTGGATGATATATTAGTTCTGTGATATTGATTCACATTGGGTTGTATGTATCTGTGGACTGGTTTTTTTGTATTTGTTATTAATAATGACAGAAAGACATGTGTTAACAATAGGGGCAATTGCCATTTTTTTTTGTTGGAGAAAATTCTTTACAGTCAAATAATGTAGCGAAAGTCAATTGGTATACTGAATTAAATGTGCTTAAAGAGTTTATTTATATATATTGATAAATTCTGTGTCAAGTAAAATTATGACGTATTTTGTTTTATTATGCATAGATATTCCTTAAGAGAGGCAACATGTGAAACCCCAAGAGGTGCATTTGTATATCATCATATGGCAGTGGCGGCTCGTCAGATGAGGCAAGTGAGGCGGCGCCTCACAGCATATGTCTTAAGAACGGATTGACTTAATTTGTAATTAAAAAAGAGCTTTCAATGCATTTTTAGTTACAAAAATATGTTGAAATGGCAAATCTGTTGATGATTTTTTGTTTTTTACGCTTTCTGCTGACATTTTCGGTTGAATACCGTACAATTTATACCCCTTGTTCTTTAACTGAAGCGGCCACAACGTCGGTTCACTTGAACCAACGAAGCCCAATCACAGACACGGATTTCCATGGCTCAGGTGCTATACTCCTATACATGCGTTCGCTCGGAACTGAGGCGATATCTTCGGTGCTTCTCGACCATTTTCGGCGTACTCATTAAACCATTTTCCCATTTATTTTACAAAACGGAAGGGCTGCGGGGTGCGTGGGTAATTAGCATGAATGTGAGTAACAGCCCACGTGTGATGTTTCGTGTTTTTGTCTGTTTCATAGGTACAGGTGAGTGAAAAATGAATCTCGAGTACCATATCGTCAGGTTCCTTCTTGAAACGCCGTTTTCACGGCGAATCGAGCAAGAACGTCGGCAAATTTTACTAAATATCGAGCAGTCAAAACCGTTAATTAATTTAACTTCCATTGATAAGAGACAGAATCGTCAGTAGTACTCCAAGTCTTTTAAATAAACTTGGTACGAAACATATAAATGGCTCTGCCGTAATATTTGTACGATTTAAATAATTTCATCCGAAGTGCAAAGTTACATGAAAGTTCCAAAGTACACATTAAAAATTTCATGGGCCTTTAGAAAGGAACACAACAACTATTCCCGAATCCCTCCAAGAAAGTGGTAGTTTAAACAAAATTTTGACTTGTAAAAACATTGTTGATTAAATGTGTTATGGGTGTTATTATTAATAATATTATTATTATTATTATTATTAAGACCTACCACTGACCCGGAAATGACCGGTATTCGGGCAAGACTTTTATCATTACTAACTAGTAAGACCAAGTAATATGCACTAATCACATTAATTTAATTATTAATATTATTATTGTCAAATTTCTATCATCGCCTCACCACATCAGACAGTCACGAGCCGCCACTGTCATATGGCTACACCTGCCCTACACGGACGTTATAATGTATTGTGGACCAATAATTTGCGTGCTTGAGACGTACATCTGAAGAAAAGTGAATCAGCTGAGGTCCGAGCTGTTGTCTCTGAAAATTCTTTTAATCCCCAAGTCAGCCTAAAAACAGCTAATGTTGAGGTACAACTTCATGAAAGCTTAGGACAAACTGATAGGAGCGAAGCACTGCTTTTGCTATTGGGCCCTGAACTAGAAAGATCTGAAGAAAATCTACTTCACAGTGTCGAAGAACTATTAGTGTCCGAGGACTATTTTAATGGCCCATCAAGAAAACAGTTTGTGGGTCAGTTTTTCACCAAAAGTGAATCAGATTTTGCATTAGGAAGTGCAATTTTTTATTGTAAAATACTTTTTTTTTGTTTTGAAATAAATTGTTCTTTAAATTGTGATTTTTTTTTTAATGGGTGTTTCAGACCCAATTCGTACTAAAATGAGAGTGATTTTTACTTGTACATGAAAGGTTTAATCCGGAATGCTAAGTTTTTCCTTTTCTAGCAAAAATGTGTGAAAAGAAAAAAGCTTGGGATTGATGATGATTCTTAAATCAAAATTTGGCAATTGATTGAAAACATTTGCAAATATGAGATCTCCTTTATGTATTATTTTAAATTCACAGCCGTATCTGTAGCATCTGAAAATCAAAGCCATTTATGTGGAGGGGGAATTCAATGGCAGTATGAACCACTGTACGACATACGTTCGACGCAAATGTAGTGGTAAAAGTTGAATTTAAATATTTATTAAATACTACCGGTTCCGTTCATGTTTGGTATCAAGATCAACAGTAAAAATATCAGTCTTAATGGTACAGGTAGTGGGATATATAAGAAAATTACTTTAATGGTACAATTTAAGCGTTAAAGTGACGCCTCGATTTCACCCATAAGGATTACACGGGGAACTGAAATACGGGTCTCGTGTTATGAACTGAGTTCAAATTTCGCGCGTCATTCACTTTACTGGTCAATAGTAGGTTTCTAGACAGCGTCAACCCATCGCCGTCAAGCTGCAGCTGCGCAAAAGCAAGATTTTTGAATTTGAAATTGTGGTATATTTTTATTGTATTTGTTTTCTTTTGTGAATAATTGTTTTTCGTTTTGTGTTTTTGTGTATTTGATTTGTTACTCGTTGTAATTTTAAGTGAACAATGCCTTTTAAGTGTTGTGTCAATCAGTGTAAAGACCAGAAAACGTTGTTTTCCTTTCCAAAAGAGGAAAGTCGGAAAAACGAATGGCTACACCGATTAGGCCGTAAGGATTTGCTGAATAAAAATATTAAAAATTATAGATTACGGTACAAGAGAAGCGTTAATATAAACTTACAAATGATCAAATGGAATATTTATTATTATTAGGTATGTGAACTTCATTTTCAAGAAGGGGATGTAAAAAGAAGTGAAGAAGTTTATAGTGAGGAAACCGGCCAGTTAATGGCAGTACCCTTAGATCGCCCTCATTTAAGAAAAGGTGAGTTTTCGATAAAACTTTCCATAACCAAAATTTTCCAAAATCCATTTTCTGCTCTTAGAACCAACCTAATCTCAAACGTTCATCTATTCCTCAATATTTCCTTATTTCTAGATGTAACACCTATTTCCCTCCCTTCAAGATCATCCTTTCAAAAAATTCCTCCAAAAAGAATTTCTCCAGAGAGAAAACGACAGAGGCTGGAATGCGAAATACTACAGTCAGCAATCGCAACCAGCATTGCCTCTGAAGAAATATATTGGAAGGAGAGAACCTTTTCCAATATTGCTGATGTGACTAATTTTTTGACAAAACATCCCCTATCAGATTGGACCGCCTCATTTAAGCCCGAAGCAATTTTTCTGTTTTTCATTTTGGAAGATGCTAATTCTTCCGAGTTAAAGTGTGGCTTGAAAATTTCAAACGAATTGAAATTAATATGATTACATGGTAGTGTTGAAAGCAGCATTTTAAATTTTTTCTCGCCTTTGACCAATGCAGTTCAGTTAGAAAATGGACTAAAGGAAATTGCAAAATCATTGACTGACCCAATAGAAAAGGGTGTTGATGAAAAACTGAACTTAGTTAATAAAACATTAAATAGTTTGTTGTCTGAATTGCCACCAGAGACACAAAATACAATAAAATTCATAACTGATCAAGTGAATTTATTGAAAACTTCAAAAAACCGACACAGATATTCATGGGAAACTGTTTTATTTTCTAGTTTAATACACTCAATTTCGCCACATTGTTATAAGTTTTTACAAAATTCAGGAAATTTAATACTTCCATCTTCAACAACAATAAGAAGAGTTTGTTCAAAATTTTCTGGAGATCCACAATTAGAACAGCACAATGCCCACTTTCTTCATTATATAAAAATGAAACAGCAATTCCTAAATGAAAATGACAAAATTGTTGCAATATTATTAGATGAAATTCATATCAAACCATATATGGACTACAAAGGTGGTACTGTTGTGGGGAAGTCTTACAACAGCGCAGATTGTGCTACTACTGCTCACGTTTTCATGTTAAGTGCAATACGATCAAGTTATAAAGATGTTGCACATACTTTACCAGCTTGTAGATTGACGGCCGAAGTTTTGCATGGTTTTCTACAAAAAATTATATTAGAATTAGAAAACATGGGCTTTAAAGTAGTAACTGTGGCCACTGATAACAACGCCATAAACAGGAAGGCAATGAGCTTCTTTTCAAATCCACCACAAGTTTGTGAGAGCTATAAACACCCTGCAGATAATGACCGACCACTTTTTTTCATTATTGACACAGTGCACATTTTGGAAAACATCCGGAACAATTGGCTGAACCAAAAAAATGGCCAAATAACGGTATATCCCGATTTTGATGACTTTTCCATAAAAAGGGAAGCACGGTTTGAGGCACTAAGAACTTTACATCTGGTAGAAAAAGATAATCTGCTCAAGTATGGTTATACACTGTCCTTGAAGGCACTTTTTCCCACTACAATTGAGAGACAAAATGTAAAACTTGTTCTTCAGGTGTTCAACCAATCGATCATAACAGCTCTCAGACAGTTTGGGCCTAGAAAAAAATTGATAAGTTTTGAAGACACTGCCATTTATCTACAAATTTTTTGGCAATGGTGGGATATTGTCAACACAAAAACTTTATTAAAGGACAAAAGATCTAGAAACATCTTCCAAGAACCATTGACAAAAAACTCAACCCAAATTTATGAGTTCTTAAATAAATTTACATTGTGGCTGGATCACTGGAAAACGTTTGAAGATGGCAAATTAACAAAAGAAACCCATCATGCCATATCTCAATCTGTGTCTGGACTGATCAAACTTTCAGAATATTGTCTACATCATCTAGATTTTAATTTCTTCCTTTGTGGAAAAATTCAAACTGATAAGTTGGAGGAGCGGTTTGGAAAATACAGACAATATTCAGGAAGCCACTATCAAATTAGTCTTCGGCAAGTGCTGGAAAATGAGAAGAAAATTAGGATGCAAAGTCTTGCACCTTTGTTAATTAAATCAGAGAACGTTCACCTGCAAATCTCTGCACAAGTGCACAAGATGTACTCAACTCTAGTACCAGTGCTGACGATAACGATATTAAAGGCTATGATGGTTCTGCTTTTTTCTTTGAAGCTCTTGTGAACAACAGCGACTTAGATGAAATTCCAGATTCTACTTGGCCCATTCTAACATTTATTGCGGGCTATGCTTCGTACGTCGCTAAAAAGAAATTTACTTGTGGTTACTGTGAGGAATTTTTAATTACCAATAATAATAGACTACCTTTTGAACACCTAGACTACAGCTTAATTGATGTCAGCGATAGAGGTGGTTTATGTTATCCCACAGATGTTGTGACGATTTGTGCATACACCTACAAAACCGTGGAAAAACTTTTAGCGAACGAAGAACTTTTTTTGTCTGAAATAAACCAAAAACAATTTGTTCGAAATGTGACATTTGAAAACATGTCAGATACTGACTTTTTTTTGGGGCACAACTGTCAAAAACACGATACATTTGCTATAAAAAAGATTATAATCAGTTGCACGACCAACATTTTGCTAAACAATTACTGCAAAAACAAAAATAATGTAAATATAAAGACACAACTAACCTCTTTGAAGAGAGGTAAAAGACATTAACAACATCAGATTTTGCCGAACTATTTGCTGTAACTCCAATTATCCGGTAATTTTATGTCATTTGAAGCGTATAATCTAAATAAATACTTTTCTATTTCTTGCAGTAACATTTTATGCGGCTTCGACGTCGAATTTTCCAAACGTAAACAAACCTTCTATTTCCGCCATCTTGTTTCTGCGCACAGGCCTTGTTTCTAGGTGGTGTTGCCCTACGCAGGTAAAATATAGCGTTGACGGGAATTCGGGTTAGAGATTAAGTTTATGGTCGGACCTGACGGGCGTTAATGTGCGCCCATTTACTTACATACCAAGCGGAAATGACCGCAATAAATACACTTTTTCCCAATGTTTCCTAAAATCCTTTACCTGTATCTACTATTGTTCTATAGTGAACCAAGAGCTATAAGGTTATATGGCCATCATAAAAGTAGTTGACCGCAAATAAATACCCCCTTTGTGTGGTTCGCACTAAGCTTACCGGCTGGCAATAAATCATCTTTTAAACATTTCTTGCTCATATTTAACAGGGCCGGCTTTCAAAGCGAGTGGTTATTTCAGAACCCTCAGCGGCTGCAGGTAGTAAAGAAATAGTGGAGTGATGGATTTTCATATTTAGTGAAAGCCGCCCCTGAACGAAACCACAAGAGCCGGTCGAGCTGCAGTGGACACGTTATTTACGACCCTAAAACGTTTTCTATTGTAAACAACTTAACTTCGACACAATGGGATGATTTTATGATGGCCATATAACCTTATAACTCTTGGTTCACTATACTAAGCTTTGTTTTCATTTCATATTCAATCAGCTCTCCAGTCGAACGAACCAAATAAACAATAATAAGTATTTGAATCACTATAAGATACACACAATAATTACAGTAAGTACATAAAAGTGATTTAATATTTCAGTGCTAATAAAAGTAGCTATTGATAACAGAATATGGATAGCCGTTTATTAATTAATTAACCTTGGTGGAGAAGTTTCCGATCTTGTATGACAAAAAAATAAAAGATTTCAAAGATGCGAATAAACGAGAAGACGTTTGGAAGGAAATAGCGACTGCCATGAATGAATCGGTGGATGATTGCCAACGGCACTAGAAGAACATACGTGATCGCTATGGACGAGAACGGAAAAAACTTCAGCATTCTGGGGATTCGGACAACGACGAACCCGTGTAGTCACTATACAAATTGGAGACATTTTCTTGAAGAGCACGTAAAACCCAGAAAGACTAGTAGCAATTATAGAAAAACTCCCGAAAAACCATACAGTGTTAGTGCTAACTCTAGCAGCGATAGCGGTACATCCACACTATCCCTGTGAGATACAATGTTAACTGTTGTCAATGATACCGAGGTAGAAGCCAGAATTGTAACAAGTCGATCCATTGGGGGCGGTAGAAGAATATACTCAGCTTGCAACCTCATCAGTGGCAGCACCAAGTACACCAACTACACGTTCTCCACGTCCAAAGAACGGCAACAAGGGCAAACAAAAGAAATCTAGAAGCACAGATTGGGATGGCGGCGGAATCGTTGACCACATTTTTAGAATTTCGTAAGAAACAGTCATCTGATGATGCGTTTGGACAATATGTACCTCTGACATTACAGCAATTGAATAATAAAATTAAAAACAGGGTAAAAATGGACATTGAGGAGAAGTACGAAAATGATGAAATGAAAATTAATAATTATACACAATAAATGCAATGTAATTTGTTGATAAAGTTAAAATTAAAATAATTTAGATTGTTTTTAGTGATCTATTACAAAATAAAATTTGATACATATTCACCCACAATCATATTGCCATCGCACTTCACCTGAAGGCCTTAAAAAATAATGGCTTAGTGTATCCCTTAAGTGAAGTGCCCTTTGTGTTGCAACGTTAGCACTCGACGATAATTGCGGACGTATAGTGCTGTGCGCTAAATCTATTATCGAGGTACGTACTGTTTGAATTATGTTAGATTTCTGTTTATTTATTGCATAGAATTGTATAGGAGTATTGTTTTGCATCGGAAAAGATATGCGGCTCAGATTTAACACGACTGATTACACAGCGATTATGTACAAAATAATTCCGGTGTAACTTAGCTGGACTCTGTCTTGATTGAACTGGCTGAATAATAATTGTTTCCGAAGGTGGCCTCTATTTAAAGCCATACTTCCCTACTAGAGATTGCCTATCGCGACTTCCGCTTCCAGGCTCTCCTCGACCGGCCGCCGCCACCAACGATGAGTCATCATCGCCGTACATACCGCAAAGGGTGCCGAACAAGAAAAACTCACTCAGACAGAGCAGACAACTAAAAATGACGAAAAGAGTACATGGCTCGCAAAACAACGCAGGCCAATTAAACGAGCCCTAAAAAAGGGGAAAATGGGATCTCTCTAGGGTGATCAAATTGTCAAGGTGGCTGCCCGATTTGGATCCATCTTCTGTTCTGGATTCTCAACAAGTACGACTTCGGCAGATATCAAGAATTTCGTCAGCAAGACATGTCCTGAACCTACTTGCGAAAAACTTCCCCCAAAACATCCAGAACTGTACGACAGCTTCAAAGTATCGATTTATTCACACCATATGGACACAGGTCCGAAGGAAAATTTCTGGCCTGAAGGAATTTATTTCAATCAACCCAAAAATTTGATGGAAATTTGCTATGTAAATATATAGTCAATAAGACTTAAAATCAATATATTAGAATTAAATTTTGCAGACAATCCTTTTAATATAATCTGTTTCAGTGAACACTGCCGGAAATGGAGATCTTTACGCTACTTGATTACAATGTAGCTAACCATTTTTGCCATAAAGGTGGTTTTGGAGGTGTTGCAATTATGGTAAAGAAGCATATAAGGTAATCACAATTAAGGTTATCATCTTTCACTAAAGAAAATGTTCTTGAGGTAACGGGGATACGACTACAGGATGCTGAGGTAAATATCATTACCATTTGTTAGTTTTATTTTTAAGTTAGTTTTATTCCACTTAAAAATAAAACTAACAAATATTGTTTACAAAAAAGATGGACTACATCAAACGTAAAAAAATCATCACAAATCCTAAAAGAATTATTTATAGAAACAAAAAATGGGAACGAGGGGACCAAAGAGATGTATAAATATTATAAAAAAATACATAGACAAAATATCCAAGAAGCTAAAAAAAATTATAACAATTATTTATTACAAACGTCAATGAATAAAAATAAAACAGCTTGGCAGATAAATAGGCAAAAATAAAATAAGGAAAACGCAAACTGAATTAAACATAGATGGACAAATAACAAGTGACAATCACAAATGTGCCAATAAATTAAATTCTTACTTTAATAATATAGCAAATGAATATATTTCTTTCAATAAAAATTCAGCACATCCTAACAACTTTGTAAATCCTAATAATAATACATTCTTTTTAGAACCTATTTTGGAAAGTGAAGTAATTAATACCATATTTGGCCTTAAAAACAGCGTTGCATGTGGACCAGATGAAATAAATTCTATTATAATAAAGCATTGCGCTAAAGAAATAGCAGAACCATTCACATGTATAATCAATAATTCATTTTTATCGGGAAAATTTCCGGATTTACTAAAAATTATTAAAATTACACCTGTTTTTAAGAAAGATGATCCAACTATAGCTACAAATTATAGACCAATATCAGACTTAAATTGCTTCTCCAAAATCATCGAAAATCTTGTTGCAAAGAAATTAACACATTTTTTAAATAAATTTGAACGCTGTCATCCACATCAGCATGGATTCACAAAAGGTAAGTCAACATCAACTGCAATAATAGATTTTCTAGATAATTTATATACAAATATTGACAAACAAAAATTGTGTAAGCATTTTTTTAGATCTAAGGAAAGCCTTTGACTTCGTCAATCACAACAGATTGCTTAAAAAATTATGGCATCATGGTATTAGAGGAATTGCATTGCAATGGTTCAAGAGTAACTTCCAAATGAGACAGCACTATGTGGAAATAAATGAAATTAAATCAAATACTTTATATATGAAGGATGGGGTGCCACAAGGGTCCGTCTTAGGACCCTTGTTGCATCTCAGCTACATATCAGATTTTAAATGTAGTAATTCTGTAATGTTTGCTGACGACACGTCTATTCTGGTCTCTGTTGATAAGACAGACAACATTTCACAGACTGCGAGTAACACAATAATTGTGTTGGAAAAATATTATCTTCACAATTATCTACACTTAAATAACAAAAAAAACCACTTCCATAGAATTCAACAACTCGCATAGAAAAAGAGATTACAGTTTATTAATTAAATCCAGTGCTGGCTCAATAAAACAAGAAAACAACATGAAATTTTTGGGCGTTATAATACACAGTACACTTAAATGGCAGGCTCATATAGATGTTCTATGTAAAAATGTATTATTTTGGATGCATGTATTCTAACGTGACCATAATTTACGAATACGAATCCGGGACACATGGTATTCATTCATAATGTGCAGTGCGTAATAAATAATGGGTATGAATTAAGAGTCACAGTAACTAAAACACTTAAAAAAAAATGTAAACAATAAGACAATTAATGAACAAAAAAGTTTAATATTCTAAAAAAACAAAAAAAAAAGAGGATACAAAAACGTTTCACATTTAAAATATTAAGCAAATAACTTTACAAATATTTATCGGAACTATGTACTTGTTTTAACACCTCGACATTTGAACGAATGCGATCATATAACTCTTCGCATGTGCCATTCCAGTGGCGGCTCGTCAGGGGAGGCAGGGGAGGCAGTGCCTCCCCTGGAAAAATTGACTATTAGTTTTTGTTGTAATATCTGTTAACTTCAACTATATATTTTAAAGATATAGCAAATAACTTTTATGGAACACTGTGATTTATTAAAACGCGTTTTGGTAACACTGTGATTTATTAAAATGCGTCTTGGTAACATATTTTGAAGTACGCGCTTTCGAGAGGAATAAGCGCTGATCATCGCCGTGTAGGCCAGCTTCAGATGGAGGCATGCCTCAGATAGACGGATATCTTCAGTATGATTAGTCAGTGGTGCTAATATGTTTTTGAGAAAGACAGTAGTCATCAGTGCTTTATCAAAGCGCCAGCGGAGGCACCAACGCCTACCGTCCTTAAGCCAATCAGATCGAATTTTTTAATCTCACGGTGAAACTGCACAATGCTGAACAGGGATGCTGAAAATGCATTCAGCATCCCTGTTCAGTGTGCATTTAGTTGTGCATTAATTAGACGCGAGAAAAGGTGTTCGCTGCATGTGCATTGCCAAGATTATGTATTAAAACTTTTAAGTTAACTTGAAAACAGTAGGA